TTCTACGTGAAATACTGAGTGAACGACTCTTAGAATGCAGTGAATGTGAGAGGAGGATGTTTTGCTTTCAGTGCGAGTGATAAAAAAATCTAGGCTTAGCAGTTTCTCTGTTTGGTTGTCGAGGTGTTTGGCTGGCAAGGCTGCAACCAGCTTAACCTTTCCATACTCTGAAGAAGCGAAATTCGCTGAAACGGCAGCATTAGCGTCAATAAAGAATAGAATAGCACCTCGTGTTTGCTTATCAAGAATATGGTGGATTATTTGATCAAAACAGAGGTTAACAGAAGTCGGTCTTTGAAATTTCAAACATGATAGGTTTCTAGACCGTCTAAAGTCGTTAAATGGACCAAATATCCATCCGCTCACTTGCTAGAGTTAATGTGCGTGTTGTGGTAGTAAAAACGATGAAGCTGTAACTTGTTCATCTTCCGACCTTCCTAGGATTTTGTGTATGTAATGAATGTTCGCTACCTTAACCAGTTAGCAATCCGAACGAGAAAAATATTGACTTTTATTTTTTCCTCATTTTTTGTTTTATTTTCTCTGGTTTTCTCACTTTTTATTTTATTTTACGATATTATATCTCAACTCACTTTTCATATTGTCATCCTTTGTTCATCATTGCCATCGGTGATCTCATAAATTCCAACTAACTATGGACATCAGTCGAAACAAATACAGTAATATTTCTGCTAAATTCTCTTTTTCCATCTTTCTTCTGAGCAGTACGTCACCGTTAACGATGGAAACGATGGAGGGAGTGGGGATGGGCGGCGGTGACGTTGTCAACGTTTGGGTGGGTGGCTCTTCTGTGGACTCAACAGTAGCGACCTTTGACCTTTCTTACAATGAATTCCTCTATAACTCTATAATAAACCTTAATATACCTTTACGTCAAAGGATTATTTGCTATAACTCATCAGATGTTAGAGAAGAATCCGGTAGCCAAATTCAATTGGTTTAGGAAATGCTTTGCATTGATAACTACGATTATCATTAAAACGTGACCAAGACAGAAAAGAGCAAGCAACACGAAATGTCAGTGTTGTTGCTTTCTCTGCCTCCCAAATACCTTCAATCAGTCAATAAAGTAGTTAATATACAATTTATAATACAATATAATACCTGTACTACCCATGTGTATGCTCAAGGCTCTCAACCAAAAGAAAAAAAGAAAGTGTTCTGCTCATAAATTGGAAGAAAACCGATTTAGAAAAGCTTACGGTGCAAAGGCAAATAATTCGAACTGGATGGCTCTCTAATTAAATAGACTACATCCTACGCCTACGTGGAGTGTCAGTGAATATGGTTAACGACAAAGAAAGAACTACGTTTCAATTCCGCATAGAAGAATAATACCAGAAGTGTCTCGGGCTCCTAGAGAAGATGGCGTTTACCCAGGGTCTCTAAGCACCGCGTTCAATTTTTTTGACAGTGGAATAGACCTCAAGGAAATGAAAACATATTCTAGGATGAACTTCTGAAAAATGGACCGATGTGTTTGTAACGAAAATAAATTGGCCGTATCATGGCAACCACGAAGCAAAAGAACTAATGAAAAGTGTGTAGAGCTCTGCACAATTCGCGAAGACGCCACGTCTAAGCTTTCACGTAAGTAACACGTTCACCACTAAAATCTCCATTTCAATAAGTTCTACTTGCTTGGAGGACACCAAGAGCATCACGCTTTCGTTTTGATGCCTTCTTAATACCTCTTTTTGAAAAAAAAAAACTGGTGAATAACCAGGTTGGCTAAGACGTGGCACAGGTTTAACCAAGCTTTTAGATGGAAAATTCGAAAGCGTCAGTTTTACCAACTGAGGATAGGTGGATGAATTGCCGTTGTGTATCATAGTTCGAGACTCAAGTGCACTTTTCAGCTTTCATGTGGTAGTAAACTACAGATGAGATAATGTGTAAATTGACGTCATCATCATGAAATGTTAACCGTTTCTTTGCAAAAAAAGTTTCGTTATTGTTTGAGAGGCCCAACGATTCTATATGAAGAGATGGGTGAAGTTATCATAATTAGTGACGAGATTTTTTCACAAGTCGAGCTTGATTAGAAGTAAAAGTTCATTCATTGTCACTAAACAGACTTACGTGACCCCTAAAAGCTAAAATCGATCGATGATAACTTGTTTCATGCGAGAAGAGATGGTAAAAGCTCCTCCAAGATGCAGACTATTCATTTAACCTGCATTTTTCATCATCTACTACCTTATTTAGTTCTCGAATTTCTCTCTAGGTGCTTGATTCCGAATCTGTTAAGTGTTTTAAGAAATTGCAGGTAAAATGTTCAAAAATATCCCAAATTAGATTTTAAAATGTACGCTGCCAAAGCTAGTTGTTGATTGACCTTAATTAAACCTCGCTCATGTTTCACTAATTTTACACAATTTCTTCGCATGTTGAGTTTACTGCCAGAGATGTGCTCTTGAATACCAGGCTAGCTACAAAATATAGTGGTCAGTTCATCTCAGCAGCACAGTCACCCATGCTGAAAAGGAGTTTCACGTTTCGGGCTCTACACGGATCTTCAGGACCATCTCAACCCGCTCCTCCCCGGCCATCATAGCCATTATAGACACCGACGCCTAAGTGGGTGTAGTAGACGCATCTATCTAATGTCCTATCTTTTGGTGCACTCGCTTTGAGTGGAGAGCAAGTCATACCGGCCCGATTGCCGCCCTAGAGAACAGACCTGCCATTTTTGTTGTATTTTCCTCTCGTAATTTAGGTTTATCATGTGTTTTTTCGTACTATCAGTGGTTTTGTTCCTCTGGGTTTTCTTCTTTAATTTTCCCTCCATTAAAATATTTCGAGTGGAGAAAAGAAATTTGTCCGCTGTGCAACTACTTTGCGGTCCGCACTTTATAGTCAGTTTCGTAGAACAAAGTTTACTCTATCGCCCTTAAAGTACGCATAAGTTTCCCTGTTGTGCTTTTTCATCTTGAGTTTTATCTGAAACAACTCTTCAAAATACTGAATAGCGACATCAAAAATAGTTTGCGCGGACTGCGAGAAATCAAAATTTCACTTCGCCAGAGTAAATAGCTTCTTTCTCGTTTGCAAAGATCTGTGGACACCAAAAGCTCTTATCGTAGCGAATGAAGATTACCACTGGTATGTTTATTCAGAACTGAAAAGATGAATTATTTCCAGAACGGAGGAGCAGCCGAAGAAACGCGGTAAACCTTGGCAGTGGCCCATTCATTACAACTGCAAAGGAAAGAAGAATCGCTGTTCAAAAGAATGGCAGCTCCATAATAGGGCGTGGTAAAAAGCTAGGCCATCTCTTCTCCGACTCGGAGAATGCTCTAGAACATCAGTACTGATGGTATATAAGGCAGCCTCATTTTTGCATTGTTTTTTCCCTCTGTCCGCGTCATTCTCGTACTTGCGCCACTCTTCTGGCTTGCATGCTCTCCTTCTATCTCTGCAACCTCTATGTTGAAACGAGTAGATTTCAACTGACTTTCTACTGAAGAGATGAGAAGAGCAGAATAACAGAAAGAAAGAAAAAGCTTCTGTCTACAAATAGAAATAGTTAAACTTCCAAGGTTGAGAGTACTGGAGTTCTAACCGGGTTTCTGTGCAGGACCCACATAGGTCGCAAATGAAACCAAGACACAAATGCTTCAAAGCGTTGATTCACCACCATTTTGTAGACAATGCAAACTTTGATGAAGAAAAGAAATTGCAAAAAATTCAGTCTTGTAGAAGTTCTCGACAATAATTGCAAGGCGGTTTATAGACCTGAGAAGAAGTATGTTCCGGTGAGCTCTTTGTTTTTCTAGAATGAGAATCTATTTGTGGTAATATCTCGAAATGAAGGGTACAAGTACGGGACCAAGTTGTTCATCAAGTTATGTTTGAAAGGAGGCTATACTTGCAACATAATAGTGTTTGTCGATAGTACGTAAGAAGAGTCGGAGGTGTTTGGAACAATATTCATAGTACAAATGGATGATTAGTGAAAGAAAAAAAAAAGAATTTTTCTTCCTGCATGATTCAACATAGAAAGCTTTTTGACCACCACAATTTAGACATATCCGCTTGTTCTTCTATTATTCACGCAAACATATTTGTGATTAAGTGGAAGTTATACATCGAAACCGCCCAGAAAATCCCAATAAATCTCTCCCAAATACAGAGCGTTCATAACTAGACCACCTTCACTTTCATATCTTGGAAACAACTCTAAGAAATGAAGATGTTGTGCAGCCTTCTACAAAGTACTAGCAAGATTTCAAGACTGAAAACCTGTTCGGCTAACGCATCCGGGCAAAACTCTAGCCTAATAAAGTTTTTTCTGACAAGAAATCCTATTTACGCAATCCAGGTTGCGGATCTTGGAGAGGTATTAATTACGTATGTTTAAGGTTGTAAGGATTATAAATATCAGGTAAGGAGTGTTAGTTGTAAGATGTTTATAAAGTAGGTTTATATGAGTGTGATATTTGTGTTTATAACATCAGCACAACGCTATGGGCATAGGAGCTGGAAATAGGGCACAAAAGCACACTACAAGTAAACACGTAGGTGAATCTACCGCAACCAATAGTTTGGTGATACCCAGTGCACCGCTGTACTCTACAATTCAACGGCACAAGACCTCGTGACTTAACAGCGTACTGTAGTGAAAGATGTCCCTAAGAGCCTAATAAAATATACAGAATAAGTTTTCAAGCATTTCAGGTTCGATGACCACCATGTTGATCGAGTTTTGTTAAGTGGCCGATTGAATACAAGAAGTACGACGAAAATTGTTTTGCAGAATAGACGCTTGTAAAGCAAATGAGTGGACATCAACTAGCGTCAGTCGTATTGCCCCTGCTAAAAAAATCACAGTGGGACAAGGAATACAGCTTTTTGAGAGATTACGTTGGATGCAAGCAGATTACAGTTGGCAATGGTTAGACGTTGAACGGGAAATGGTCAAAAAAGCAATACGACCATTACTTACATCTTTACTTTTCGCCGCTCTAGAAACTAGATTAATGCATAGAATAATTACTTAAAGAGCTATGCAGTGGATCGTGTAGTAGTTCAAACACCACAATATCCATAAATGCTGGAGAGATTCCCATAAAAGCCATCCGATACTTTTTCACATTCAGAAGCTAAAGTTGTTCAAAAGCGAGCAAAGCCTAGGAAGAAAGATAAGCTTTCTGAAAAGTAAAGAAGAAAAAGAAAATTGTTAACAACAATAAGGGCCCGCGGTATCCATAAAAAAAATAGCTTTCGAAAAGAAGTGAGTAGTTCGAAACCTTCAAACAAACCGGCTGCTCCTGTCGTCTCGTCAACGGCGGCGGCTGGGGTGGTGGTGGTGGCGGAGGATGTTGATTACTATAGTACGGTAGTGGCTGATTGTAGCTGATACTCTGATAGGGAAGGAAGGCAGATGCGCCACCTCCGATCGATGAGATCGAACCGCTAAGTTCAGCCATCCACCATCTGCATCATGCAAAAGATCACACATTGATTGACAAAAAATCGAACATCGATCAGGATTAGAATGGGCGCGTTGGCAGAATCAATATGTTTTCGAGCGTTGAAACAAAAACAAATGTTTTATGAGCTAATAAAAAAAGTAGTAATAATCACAAACGGGAAATGACGGTTAATACAACAAGATGCTTCGTTTACTGTAATAGTGACAAAAAGGAACGGACTTTTGACAGGATTTCGATTTTCAGCCGTATCGAAACTCGAATAACGGACGATTGTTCGACTCGAGTATTGATCACGTGGGTGGATTGTTGGGTTATAGTAAAATTTTGGTGCAAAAAAAAGACTCAATCACAGTTGTGTAAACAATGACATATGGGAAGTGATAATATATTTAGTGGGAAGAAGGTGGAAAGTGCTCTGCTGAGTGTAATGAGGCTATCGACAGCTGGGGATAAGTGTTCAGTACGACCAGTTTCATATTAAGTGTGAGTTCAAACAGAAGAGTATACTGTAAACTAAGAAGTGTGGGAACAGAAAAGAAAGAATAGGAAGTGTACTTCGGGAGATGAAAATCAGAAGAAACACTTGAAATGTAGGGAATCTTCGAGGGAAGCGCCACTAATCATATATGAGAATCATTCATTTGAATCATTTGGAATAACAACGGCTTATTCATTAATCAGTGAGGCGATAACTTCTGAGTCGTCATTGGTTCCGAACTCCATCTATGGGAGGCCCGAGCGGTGGCGGAAGTGAGAGAGAGCAGTGGAATATCGGAGTGGAACACCTATGAATCTTCATGATTCATTCAAAAGTAAACTCGGCAAAAATCAAGGAAATGGTGAATTTCACGACGGAAAGAATGTATCAGCAAACGATGAAGAGGTTGAAAAGAAGGATTGATAAGACCGGAAAAAGAATGAATTGAAGAAGGACTAGGTTTGATTATGCAGGCGATCGTAAGATTTCAGACCACTGAGCGGATTTCTTTCTCCAAAGGTATTGATCGAAGTAAATTCTGAAAAGTTCCAAAAAGCAGTGGAGATCTCTGGAAAGCATGAAAACTCCACATCAATGAAAACACTTCACATAACCCCGCCAGAAATAGAAAGTCTAGAAAAATTCTTCAAAAAAAATTTTTAAAAAAACTTTTTTTACTACAATACAAAACAACAAGCAGATGAAGCTTTCAACGAGAGATGTAAACATATTGCCAAAAAATTTAAGCTAAGTATAAAGAAACTTGTTTTGGAAAAATTTCGTTTGTCTAGCTAAAGAATTTTAAGGCTTTATATGGGAATGTTCTTCTATTGCGGCAAAAATTTTATTTACGCTTCTAACGTGACCTTTTTCAAATTCTTTTTCATGAACCTCGTGCTTGGCTCAGTGGTGGAAAATACTTGTGAATCTGCCATGGCGACCGAGGTTAAAGGAAGTCGGTTTTGAAGTACTTCTAATAGAATTGCTTCTTGCAGTAATTCTCAAGGCCGACTTTCTATTAACGTCGGCATTGATCGAATAATTCTCTATATTCCTGTTTAACAAGCAACACCTGCTATTTTATTACTTATTGCTGTAAAGCTAACGTTGCGGCGGATTTCGCTATCATCAGAGTCTGGAAATGTCAAGTTGACTTCAATTTTTCGGGACAAACATTGCATCCAAGCATAGAAAACGCTAAACCAAAATTTCACTCGCATTGGAAACAAAATAGCTTCTTCTCACACTCACCGCTTTCTGTGAGTCTATGAGTATTAGTATGAGTCGAGTATTTTACGTGAAAACGATCAGTCTGAGATATTCTGTGAGATCACTCATGATAACGAGGCATACCTCCATGAGGTTTATTTTTGGATTCTTGGAACTCTTCCAGAAGGCTTCGAAAGTTTTGCGCGCTGAAGTTTTCGATTCCTGTATGAGGATGGTAATGGTGCTTAAAATCTTTCCCATTATGTCTTTGTGTCCTGTGCGCGCCTAGTGGGTATTTGGGTTAACGGTAAGTCTACACCGACTAGGTACTCTTTTATACAGACGCAGAGTGGTCTAGACGTTTCGTCAATGTATTCGTCTCCGCATGCTTTACAAGAGATTATGTGCACATTATGCAAACTCACGCAATCACTACCTCCATCTTTAAAGCATACTATGCAATTCTGCGTTGTACATACACCGCCATACAGGCGAATGCGAAGTAGCTGACGTCTTAGAGTGCTCGGTGGTATTTCAATCACTGCTACTGAATTCTCTAGGCTGGTATTAAGGAATGTTTTGTAGTTGCATTAATTTCCTTTGAAGTTAAGGTCAGGACAAACGGCGCCTTGTTATCGCTGGAGTTATCGCTTGGTAGCTTGGGTCTTCCTCTACACCTATCTCGAAGAGCTGCAACTTCGTGACTATTGGAAAGAGCTATTTACCGCGTCAACTCCAATGATTCTTCTTTATGCTCTCTTCTTGTGCACACGTTCGTGGCTGTTCGAAACATGTTTCTTATAATCCCCTTTTCAGGAGTTAGTTTTGAGAGGAAAGGTTATGTTCTACTACTTGGCTTTTGGTACCATCTCGTGACGTAGCCGTCTTCCAACAGGTTAATTTGAACACTCAGAAAAGAAAGCCAGTTTTCTTTCCGTTTCTCTTAGGTGGACTTAAAGCACTGTAGCTGTTCGTCCAATAATTCTTGAAGAATTGTTTGTTCCTAATCTTCAGTCGTAATTCCCTGCTCAGATTTGACTTTCCGTTATATAGAGATTCTCGCTGTTTTGAAATAAAGGCTATCTATTAACAGAAGCATGCATTGGTAGCAAATATAAATAACGTAGTTGAATAAAAAACTGTCCAAACGAGAACAAGGTTCTGTTTAAACATCCAATTTATCCAGTTACTCGGTTTAAATACAGCTTCGTCCTTCAAAAATCATTTACACGTCAAAAAATACTTCATTTTGATCACTTGAACAAGTAACATTCAGGAACAATTGTGTGGGTGCCAGGGGCAATTCCATTTAGCTAGTTGTTGGCATGTTTTTTTTTCCTTAGACACTCAATAAACCGGTGCCAGTTCGTTCCTAGTCCATCTCGCCAGCCTCACGAGCAAGTCTGCGATTCTCGTGAACCGGAGGGAGGTCTGCCATCTGGCGACCATATTTCATCTAGCATATCAAAGATCAATGCTACTGAGACAATAGGAGCTGCGATTAACAATGATGATGCCGGGGATCTTCTTAGTTTCGGTGCCTTTGGGTGGTAAACTTTCCACCGTACAACGTAGACCTACATCCAGTAGTACTGCTTTCTTTCTTGCTTATAATGAAGGCGTAAGGATAAAGGATGAAGTGTTTGGTGTTGATTATCTCTTAAGAGCTCGTAGACACGGCGAGCACTGGACGCTATTTGTAACACCGTTGGAGGCGATTAAATGTATATTTACTCTATAAGATAACAACCAACGTATCAAGAAAGTGCTTTTACATTCCCAAGCAAGTCTTGGGCACGAATCTGTCCACCCGTTATGAAGGGAGAGTTCGTTCTGCTTCCGGCGCGTGACTGTGCCAAAGACTATGTGCAAGGCACCTCTAACCACTGCGCTGCATAGGTCTAAATGCTAGTCTTTAGGTAAAATCGCAAAGATAAAGCCCAGTCCATGAATATTTTTAGAAGACCTATGAAAAACAATTGTGAGGCTGTCACCTATATTGCCCTTTGTGAGGCTGAAGATTCGAAAATAAGGAAAAAGCAGAATCCATAGATGCAAAAAGAGAGTAAAACAGCGAAATTCGATATTGGCTTTAGGGAAAAATAACTTGGACCAAATTTTACACGTAATACTGGTTAACAGTCACTAAAGTTTCTTTTTTCTTGTTCTTCTCCTTTTATCTTGCTACATTACCTTTTTTCTCTCCTCTTCCTTTCTTTTTCCATCCTTCTGTTTTTATTCCTTTCCCATTTTTCTAGGATATTTTTGAACATGGGAATTAAAGTTACGAAGAATAACTGAAGAAATCTCAAATGTTTAGCATAAAGCGGTGTGTTAAATGACTTTAACATAGCGTTCATATACAAACTATTAAAATCTCGACGATAAAGCAGGGTATAATGATAAAAAATTTCAAAAGGTGACCTCAAAAGCTTTATAGGTGGCAAAATTTCCGAGAGTTTGCCATGAAGGTTCAGAAAAATATAACGCTCCGATAATTGGTGATATGAAAGAAACATCTCGCAGACGGAATGGTCTGCAATTTTTTCGAAAAGAAAGAAAGTAACGTAAAGAAAGATGGGGAAGAATTTCGTCTCATCCAAGCATTAGAGAAGTGGGTTGGGAAAAAAGAGAAATAGATGAAGCTGGATAACTTCTTCAAATTTTCCGTTAAGTGGAAGAAACATAGTGGGATGGGATAACTGAGCGTAGTTAGGAAAATTTTGGAAACATGAAATTCAGTTTAAGATTTTGGAACCTTTGCTTTGAAGACTAAAGCATTAAACTTTAATCACAAAGTAAAGGGATCGTTCAAATCGCTAATGTGAAAAATGGAACAAAATTTTTCAAGTCGTCAGAAAGTTGACAAGAGAACGAAATGAAAGCTTCGAACACGATGATATGAAGACTATATGAACAATTTTGGTCAACGCATTGTGACCATCTATGGAATTCCTTGAAACCCATTAAAAATTCTGAAATGAAGTGAGCATGATTCAATTCCAATAACGATGAGGGGAGTGTTTCTTTGAGAGTAGGCGAAGTAGCGATGAAAACGACAAAAAGAAAGAAAAACTAACAGCGACTGTCTGACGAACGTTCAACTAAGCGATAAGAGCGACCAGCTATCGCACGGTCGGTGGGGCCGGTCGGTCCCGGTCATTTCTGGAAGTCCAGAAGCCATATGTAGGGTTGTCACCACTCTGCATAGTCGGAGTTCCGCATAGATGACGAATTTCTTTGAAAACGGCTACTTTTTACGAAAAAGAGGCACAAACTAGTGATACCGTAGGAAAACAGCATTGTT